CTATCTGCTCTCGCTCCAAATCTTCTTCAACCCCCTGCATCCTAGTGGCTTTACGCCTTGATCGGGGCGTAATGCTTTAAAAAAATCCCCGAAATCACTATTCAAGAACCTGGACTTTTTGCGAAATTTACAAAAGTTAGCTTTTGAAAATTGTTATTCTAAGCCTTGATTGATTTATTATTTTGCACAACACAAAATCGAAGATGGAAGGCTGAGTTAGGATAATCTCTGAGGGTAATATGCGTCCGCTCCCTTAAATATTAATATATAAATTAATGTTTTTTCTTTCGTTGGGAGAAAGTATATCGCCCGGTTCACACTCCTTCCCTCTCTTTTGAACAGAGGTAAAGGTTAAGAATTGGTTACGATTCTTTATAAAGATTTTCATTAACTTTCAATTACGTCATAGTGGAATTACGCCTTCTTCCTTGGGGTGAATTGATTAAAAAAAAGAGGAGTAATGTTTTTTTTTGTTAAAAATTACGGTGTTTTATCTGAGCTTAAACACAGATGGTTGATGAAGCATTTGCGACCATCTTAACCACAAAGGACTGTTATTAATTATATATAAATTTCCAAGAAAAAGGGGATCAGTTTCCCTTCTTGTTTTTTTTTTATGTGCTGTGTCCCTTTACGACGTTAGTGATCATGGCTCTCCATAACTTCCTGGCTTTTATAGCTCTGAGTATTTTTTTTTCTATGCTATCTCTCCTAATCCCTGAAATCATTATTCAAGAGGCTGGATTTTTGCGCAAGACTCGAATGATCTATTTTGCAAAACCCGAAAGCGAAAGAGGAAGACTGAATTAGGCAAATCTCTCAGGTTGATATGCGTCCTTTCCCCTAAACATTAATACACCAAAAACTGGATACAAACAGTCATAGTTTCATAATAGTTCAACACTTACGTTTTTTGAAATCTTTAAATATTATATATTATATCTGGTCAATTGGCTTGTATATTGTGACCGGTGTGTATGGTGAAATCTCGGAGCAATGTAACCTTAGGGAACCGTTATATTGTACTTAATTTGAAAGGTGGGGTTTAACATGACAAAAAAAAAAAATGACACATAAAATGTTTTTACCCAAATCCTTATCGTTTTTTTTTTTAGCAAACCTGTTTTAAAATTAAGTTTATGTTTAAAACTGGAGCGTTGAAATTTCATTTCGGTTATCAGTGAAAGACTTATAAAATTTATAATCGAAATATATGCAGTTAGTTGGTTTGAAATTAAAAGGGAAAATAAATTCCACAACCAACGACCGTATATCTTCAACATGACCCAGAGGATAAAGCCATAGCCAACTGAAATCTTACTTATTATAAAACGCAGATTGTGTGTGTGTGTGTGTCTGTACGTTTATATATTGGATCGGATTTCCTACATTTTTCAACCGATTTCAACAAAACTTCACAGGACTACGTAAAATTACCTTGCAGTGGTTCTGACAGCGCCAAAAATTGGAAAAACACAATTGTTTTTGCATGAAATCAATTTGAAAACACAATAAAACACGATTCTGTCGCCAGAATGAAAGGGGGACAACTCATAGTTATACTTATTATAAAACCCAGGTGGTTTGTGTGTGTGTGTGTGTGTGTGTGTGTGTGTGTGTGTGTGTGTTCGTTTATATATGGGATCGGATTTCCTACATTTTTCAACCGATTTCAACAAAACTATTTTGGCAGGGAGTGTTTCTCATTGTCTTGCACACTTTTTTCTTTATTTTTATATTCAGAATGCTTTAAAAATTCAATTTACAAGACAATTGTTAATAATAAAATTCTATTCAATCGGTAGACTCATAACGATTGAAAACAATGTTTTTGTTTGAGTTTGGGTTTGACCAATTCGTAAAAAAAAAAAAAAACAAAAAAAAAAAAAAACTAATTAAGACATGCGTGTCCGTCAACCTTAAACAATAATCTTTGTCAATTTGATTTTTCAGTCTTTATGATGGTCGATACATGATCTATCTCTTACTGTTACATCCCCGGGCAACGCCGGGCTCTACTGCTAGTACGAAATATGGCGTTAAAAGATTTACAGCACACTGCTTTTGCCTTGTTTCCATTAGATATTATTTTCTCAATGTAGAAATCAGATGAATTGGAGGAGAGGGAAGAGGCTATAAAAATGTTGTCCTTAGATAAGTAAAAGTTCATTCACACTTAATTGTGTCAATTTACAAGGCTAATTTTAAAAGTTCATTCAAATTACATAAAAAAATATAAGCAAGTATGCGTAAATTTTTTAATATATTTTTTTGTTTGTTTCAGAAATAGCAAGCCACCAAAGAAGAGATAAAAAAAAATGACATTCATCAAATCTGAAGCAACACACTGGCCAAATTTGATTAACCTCTCACAAAATGGAGTTTGTGAACCTACGTTTGCAGCAGGTTTTTTCAAATAATGAAAATAGCAAGAGGTTCTAATGAACAGAACAACACTGGAATTGCCAAATTTACCTGCATATTCGCAGGTGGAAATAGCAGGTAAATTAACCACTGAAGCTTCACAAATTGTATATGGTCAAGAAGCAAATAATAAGCATATTACTACTAAATTATTGTGCCATAAAATAAAACCTTCACTTGCACCAAAGGGAAATTATACTGAACAATTTAGCTATACTATTAGTATGTTATACAGTGCAGTAGTTTTGTAGTGTACTGATACTTACTAACGGGAAGTAGTATGCACCCAACTGCCTCATGGATAATAGCCGTAGCTATATATAGTCTTTGTGACTTCCTATGTAAATGAGTTAGCTCATCTCCCTGTACAGAAGAGGTTTCCTTATTTTTCTTGGCACTTTTGAGCTTTTGCCTTTTCACTAACTTCCTCCCTCTTCCTAAGGGATTGTTTAGATATGGGAGATCTTGATCTTCTTCTTCTTTCATAGGAGTATTCCTTCAACGATTTTTCATTTTCAGAGTCTATATTGTTCCCGATTTCACTGTCACGTTTGTCTTGCCTTGACATGACCCTTTCATCTTTATTACTTTCAGGCTCACTGTACATTTCTTCATCGCAATCGTGTTGCAATCTAACTTGGTCCACATGCGTTAATATCCCGTTTCCATTACCTTCACTATACTTTTTGTACCAGAGTTTTTCGTTGGTGGCATAAGAGATGGTCAATGGGACTCTAATTTTTCTACCCATGAGAGCGGACGGGCTTTTCGATCTATCCTTCCAGAGATTTCTGGGTATCAACGTCATGTCACTTCCTGTATCTAGTTGCATATCCAATAAAGCATTGATTTGAACATTTATTAACCCCTTTTCATTTCTTTTTTTTTCAATGAAGAGACGCTCATACTCATTTCCTCTTCATTTTGTTGGACCGTCTCTACGTTCCTCTTTTTGGATTTACATATAGGTTTGAAACGATTTATTTTGAAACATTTTTCACATAATTTTTGTGATCATTTCCTCTACTTTTGTTCTGTTGAATCTTCGAATTAATTCTCGTTGCTGAACAAATTCAACACACTGTTCTAGCGACAACTTTCCCAGTTGTGAATACATTGGAGTCATTTGCTGATAATCTCAGTTTGGATCAAATTTTCTTCGAGTGACTGGTTTTCCGATCCCAGTTTCTCAAATTCACAATATTTAGCAGCCTGTTTCAAACGAAGAGCATTTTTTTCTTTGATGCTATTTTTTTCACTGTTAGTTGACTTATATCGCCAAACGTCATTTCCTCCAACTGTCTTCGGTGTGCAATTGCTGTTAATTTTATAATGGTCTCACAACCAGCAGTTACAAGGAGAGATCAGTTATTTGGTTTTCTCCTCCAACTGATTTTAAATCCTTCAGTTTTTTTTTGTTTGAGCTTTAGCTGCTAGTATCTTAAGCCACACTCGCGCGTATTCATAGACATCCGATGATAATTGTTCGCTCGATTCTTTAGATATCAGCAACGCCATTGTAGTGTAGTATTACTGACTCACCGGAAGTAGTATGCACTCAACTGCTCATGGGTAATAGCCGTAGCTATTTCTAGTCTTTGTGACTTCCTATGTTACTCAGTTTTAGTGCAGTTTTCAATAAACAATGCAAATTTAAAATATTTTGACTCATACTTTGTGTCCAACAGTATTATGGTGTTATATATATATATATATATATATATATATATATATATATATATATATATATATACGTTTATCTATTTTTTTAAGATATGCCCATCCAATCGAAACTGAGGTCTGGCGTTAATGAAGGTCGTTTTCTTTGAAGGCTATGTGAGTTTTTCTGAGTATACAATACAAGTTCTACTCCTGGGCACAACCGATGTCTTTCATGTGATTTTTTTTATCAATTCACCCCAGGCAATGCTATAATGCCACTAAGATGCCTCACGTTGTACATGTCTTCGTGCCAAATAAAGCCTCATTGGAAGCGTTAAAACGTAAATATTTTGATTTCTGCAATTAAGAATGGCTAATGGATATCGGCTCGGAATGAGAACTCTGAGAGCTGAGTTCGAATCCCAGTTGAGTTGGTTATATTCACTTACGCACAAAAGGATGAATCCATCTCTTGCCCCCCAGGTTTAATAGCAGGAGAGACAGGTTGGCAACCAATCTACCGGAGAAAAGAAAAAAAAATCTTTATCCTTTTGTGCGTAAGTGAATATAACCAACTCGACTGGGATTCGAACTCGGCTCTCAGAGTTCTCATTCCGAGCCGATATCCATTAGCCATTCGTAATTGAAGAAATCAAAATATTTACGTTTCAACGCTTCCAATGAGAGGCAGGCTTTATTTGGCACGAAGACATGTATTATTATCATTGTTATTATTATTGTTTTGACTTTTCTCTGTGGAGCATAGGTTGATCCCAAGTCTCAAGCAGAGACTTCAAGAGACAACAGGTTTTTGTGTCAGAGGATGCAAACAGGGAAGACGCCATGCAATCCGAGATAGATAGATAGATAGATAGAATATAATTATGGTCATTGCATGGATAGAAGTGAGAAAGAAACATTATTATTATCATTATTTGCAATCTTCTACTTCTTCTCGCCATTATTATTATTATTACTTTTATTCATATTCTTATTCTTTTATTATCATTATTATGCTTCCTATTTCTCTTCTTCTCTTTTTGTTCTCGCCATCTTTATTATTATTATTTATATCGCTTTTCGTATGGCTATCATTCTTGTTCTTCTTCTTCTTCTTCTTCTTTCCATTATTATTATTATGATTATTATTATTACATTCTTCTTCTTCTTCTTTTATTTTCTCTTCCTCTCCATCTTTATTATTATTATTACATTCATTTTCTTCTTCTTCTTCTTCTTCTTATTTTTTACATCACTCTTCTTATGATTATCTTTCTTCTTCTCTTCATTATTATTATTATTATTACATTCTTCTTTTTATTACTATTCTTTCTTTCTTTCTTTCTTTCTTTCTTTCTTTCTTCTTCTTCTTCTTCTTTTCCTTGCCATATTTATTATTATTATTATCATCACATTCAACTTCTTCTTATTATTTTTTACATCACTCTTCTTATGAGTAACTTTCTTCTTCTCTCCATTATTATTATTATTAATCTTTCTTTCTTTCTTTCTTTCTTTCTGTCTTTCTTTCTTCTTCTTCTTCTTCTTCTTCTTCTTCTTCTTCTTCTTCTTCTACACTCCATCTTTATTATTATTTACATAATTCTTCTCATGATTACTATCATCTTTCTTTAATCTTCTTCTTCTTATTTCCATCTTGCTCTTCCAAATTATGTTTGCACCTTATTCTTTAGAGGTCCTCCCGCCCGCCATAGCTTCTCGTACATATTTTGTGTACGGCTGTCTTTTTTTTTTTCTTTCCTTTTCTTTAAATTAGAAGTCAAAGCGTGCGGAATATTTCAAATATGAGCGCAATTAAGCGTCCCGATAATTTGTTCCAAAGAGCATTCCAATTATGACGTATTTGCCGAAGCATTTAATGCGCTTTTTATAGAAGGCTCAGTAATATTTGCAGGAAATGTCTTTTTTGTTATGGTTTAACACATTCAAAAATTTACGATAACAATTAAAAACGAAATGAATTAAATTCGCGTTGCAGCTGATTAAACCACAGAAATATTTATAATAATGATGTTTACAGATACAATAATAATAGCAATTAGAAAAACGAAAATATAATAATAATATACCAGGAGTGACTTTCATGGCTTCTGGTCTTAATTGATTGGAAGTGTCAATATGTACATGTTTTGTTTTAGTTAATTAAGATGGGATAGACAAAAAAAAAAAAAAATCATGTTCAGTACTACAGATTTGCTTGTCAGTTGACTGATCATATCCAGTCGGGAATGTAGGGTCCAACGGACTGTGTATTTCTGTTCATGAGCGGGAGTAGTGTGGTAGAGAGTATCATATCTGCGTGACCAGAGCGTTATTTTTTGAGTTTGAAAGGTGAGTTGAAATGGAAGTCCCCTCAAAGTACTTGGGAACACCCTCAATTGACGACTGTCTGAGCGAACTAGGCGACCCACCCGATATGCAAAGTTATGCAGTGTCTTTATCAAAAGCTGTCACTATATCAGCCACATTTAACTATATATCCGGTATACCCTTATCAGACTGGGTGTCATGACGGGTATATTGAGCTTCATATATTTGTACACCAGTTTCACTTTTTTTTGTACGCTGCTTTTTCGATCAATAATAATAATAATCCTTCAACCTCTTTATAGTTGGTCGGAACAATCCCTTTCCACACTGCTCGGCTCTGAAATACCGTCCTCAGATCTCCAATGTCCAACCCCGAGCCATGGTGTCTGGGAAAGTCAACTGGTGCAGTTAGTGTACGTCATGGTAGTTTTTTCAATAATACCTGATACTACTACTACTGATAATAATAATGATGATAATAATAATTGTCATGGGTCCTTACCTATGACTACAGAATGAACTCTTCCTAACACTATGTATACTACGCCTCTCAAGAGAGAGGGTCGAATCAAGCCAATCTTCTCGGTTTGACGGTCGAACTCTCTGCCTCTGAGCAGAAAGGAACCCGGACGAGGCTCCGCCGAAGGGCAGAGTCTTGTTCGGGGAGGTTGACCAAACCGATCTCGTTTATACGGGTTCTACGGGCATTTTTTGCTCAGAGGCAGAGAATTCGACCGTCATGCCGAGAATCTCGACTCGATTCGGTATCTAGCCCCCCCCACCCACGTGGTTTGCATGTGGCACAAGGCCGAGTTTAACGTGGGTTTCCCGAGCCGGTGGGCTCGGCCAAAAATGCCCGTAGAACCCGTAGAAACGGGTCGGTTTGGTCAACCTCCCCGAATGAGACTCTGCCTTCGATCGAACTCTCTGTCTCTGAGCAGAGAGGAACCCGGAAGACGCTCCGCCGAAGGGCAGAGTCTCGTTCGGGGAGGTTGACCAACCTGATCCCGTTTCTACGGGTTCTACGGGCATTTTTTGAACGAGCCTACGGGCTCGGGAAACTCACGTTAAACTCTGCCTTGTGCCACATGCAACCCTCGTGGGGGGGGGGGCTAGATACCGAATCGAGTCGAGCCGATAGTAGTTCACTCCAAAGCAGACTGACAGTCATACTGACACCTTCCACATCTTGTATTATTATTTCGTGTAATATACCTTCGTTATTTCTACTCTTGTGTTCGTGTTGTTCTTCCTTGATTCTAACCTGGACCATAACAATAATAATACACCAGGGTTGACTCTCATGGTTTCTGATTTTAATTGATTGGAAATGTACTATTTACATTATTCGGACTATTGTCCTCATCTTTGTCGCCATATTTATCACAACGTTTCGGCCGTTGTACGCCCCGGCCTTCTTCAGGTGGTTGGAATTTCGAACTGAACCCTTTATCTTTGGATCCTGTCACTGGATCTAACCAACGCCTTTATCCACTCTGCCATGTGTCCTTAAGGATAAAGATTTGTGAGTTCAATACCTGGTTAAGGCAGTGGAGAACTTGGAGAGGTGAATTAACAGGAGATAACTGATAACTGATATCCTTTCAACATGGCATGTGGAACTAGAACAGTTTACACCAGCTAGTGAAATAAAGGGTTCAGTTCGACATAATACCTCATCTCAGAAATATAGACAGATCTATCTATCTATCTATTAGTTGTGATAAATATGGCAACAAGATGAGGACAATAGTCAGAATAATGTAAATATTGTACATAATACCTCATATCAGAAATATAGACAGATCTATCTATCTATCTATCTATTAGTTGTGATAAATATGGCAACAAGATGAGGACAATAGTCAGAATAATGTAAATAGTGCACATAATACCTCATCTCAGAAATATAAACAGATCTATCTATCTATCTATCTATCTATCTATCTATTAGTTGTGATAAATATGGCAACCAGATCAGGACGATAGTCAGAATAATGTAAATAGTGTATATAATACATAATCTCAGAAATATAGACAGATACTGATTGGAAGTGATAACATCTTCTGTCTTGATGAATGATGATGGACTACACTAAATATTCCGTTCAGTACCACAGATTTGTTTGTCTGACCATAACCAGTTGGTCATGTCGCCTAGCGGCTGACAAACTCTGCATTTCTGTTCAGCAGCGGGAGTAATTAGCTAGTATCAAGGCTGAATGTCGAGAGTGGGGGTGTTCGTTTCAATTTGAAATTCCACTCGGTCAACACGAAATTTGAAAGATGAGGCAGCCAAGGTAAGCCGGGAGTCCCACATACGTAGCAAGCAGCGTCTCTGTTATGTCTTTTACGTCTTTCCACTCGATCAAAACGAAACAGTACATTATTTATGGGGCATCGGCAAAGGAGACGTTAAACACTTCCATCTTCTTTCTATCGTTCCATGTTTCAATGAAACCAAGTAGCGTTTCTAATATGTCTTTTCCGTCTTTCCACGCAATCAAAACGGAATCGTCCATTATTTACGGGGTATGGACAAGGGAGTCGTTAAACACCTATATCTTCTCTTCTTTATTTCATTTTCTCGCTGAAAACAAGTAGCGTCTCTGGTATGTCTTTTCTGTCTTTCCACTCGATCAAAACGAAACAGTCCATTATTTACGAGGTACTGACATGGTGTAACGTACTTACGTTCGAAAGAACTAAGGGAGGGGCAAACAGAATTATAAAATAATAATAATAACGCCTCGTGGCCTATCCGTCGGGTAATAGCTATATCTCGTGTACAGAATGATATCTTTAGTTTTGGGGACATTTGTCCTAGAGGTGGTATCTTGAATAAAATTACCCCTTGGCGGTTCAGGATACAATGCAAAAATTACACATCTCAATCTTTACACGCAAAACTTTATACCGTTCGGGCGTCAACTTGGCAAACAAGGCCCACGTCCATCAGTCTGGGGTCGTAAAAACTGTCACCAACAATGAGATATCTGATCAGCAAAACCGGATTAACTCCAACATTGGAGCTGATGACTTAATGTCAAATCAATTAATAAAAAAAGCGAACGTAATGGAATCGTGAAGAATATAAACAAGTCATGGGATCTTTTTTCATTGCACTCGAAAATCCTCAAAAGGACTTAACGGATCAGACATATTAAATCTGGAGAGATATGGTAGGAACTAAAATAAGACCCTACGTAAAAATTCTAAGACATAACCCAAACAAAAAATGAGGCAAGTGTAGAAATATATGATATGACAGAAGATGGGATACAAACTAAAATGAGATACGAAATAATGATCTCCCAGGAAATAAAACGGAAGCTGCGACATAAAAAATTTCATTGATTCAGATTCTGTCACTGATGAAGATGAATCAAACGACATTAGATCAGAATTCTTTGAAAATAACAAAGTGGAAATCGCCGATGAGAAAAAGCACATCATTCAAATAATCAGTTAAGTAATTCGCACATAAATGTCTGAAACTGACTGGTATCCAAAAATTCAGATGACAAAGTCCAATAAACATATTGTGCAACCATATAACGCTGCATTGCAAACATTGTTAACGGACAGACCATTAGAAAACAGCATAGAATTAAATAATGTCATATATGCAACAGATTTGTCAGCTACTGAAAAACTTAATGTCAAGACAAAGAAAAGATTAAACAACAGATAAAAAGAACCCAATTGGAAGACAAAATTAAATCGAGGAAATCAGTTGTGTTATCGATACTAGAAGAGAATTGAAGAAATAAAAATTTATCTCAATCCAAATCTGCTTGTCAATGTCCACAGGTAAATCATGAAGAAATAAAAGACTCTCAAATACAGAAATCGATGCGATAAAACTAAATATAATACAAAGTATAATCAGACATAATCGAAACAAAAAATGAGGCAAGAGTAGAAATATATGATATGACAGAGGATGAGATACAAACTAAAATAAATGAGATACGAAATAATGATCTCTCAGGAAATAAAACGGAAGCTGCGACATAAACAATTACACTGACTCAGATTCTGTCAATGAAGAAGATGAAACACGCGACATTATAGCAGAATGAAAGCACTGATATGAGCAATCACATTCATTCAAATAATCAGTAATTCGTACACAATATCAGAAAGAGACCGACTATCAAAAATTCATATGACAAAGTCCAATAAACATACTGTTCAAACATATAACGTTACATTACAAACATTGTTAACGGACAGACCACTAGAAAACAGCACAGAATGAAATAATATCATATGTGCAACAGCTTTGTCAATGACTAGAA